GTTCTTTCGATTGCTATCAATATTAGACAAGTCTAGATAATAGATCCGTTGGTTTCTTTCCTTCGATGTAGTTATCTATGAAATCTTTCAATTCCACTTTTTCTTCGTTTTCTTTGTAATATTGAAATAGGTCTTGAACATCGCTCTTTGGTAGATATTCTGAAGTTTTGAGAAATTGATAATACGATTGCTCTGGTGTTGTTGTGTAGATATACAAAGAATCGAAATCTAAAAGGTTTGGTGTTGTCAACATGTTAAAAGTGAGATGAGTTTTCCCAGAACCGGAACTACCGCATATAGACATGAGCATTGGGTTATTAGGAAATATTTCTGAATGATTAAATTTTTTACCCATTTTTTATTATTTTAATTTGTTCCAAAAATAACTCCTTCTCCTTTATACTTCGAAAGATATATTCCTTCTCCAGTGCGTATATTTTTTTAAAAATATTCCATTACCCTTATGTTTGACTTTGATTTCTCCTGTGTCAATACTATCTACTAATTTATTTAATCCTTGTTTAACAGTTTTCTTGGTTTCTTCACTAAATCTTTTTCCAAATTCTTTCATTGTGCCTATCATTTCTCCCACTCCTGAACCTTCGGCCAACTTTTACATTTTTAAATTATGTCTATGTTCTTCGGCTGCTTTTTTTGCGTTGGCAGCAGCTGTTTCTTCATCTGCTTTCTTATCGTTGGCAGCTTTTACTCCACCAGCTGCAGCACCAGCTATTGTACCGGCTGCAATAAGTCCACTAAATATTAAAGGTAGCGAAAATATAAATCCACCTTCTTTTGCGTTCGCGTCAATTCTTTCAAAGTCTATATCGTCTCTGACTTTACAATATTTGTATTTATCAATAAGTTTTTTAGTTATGCTGATTTTTTTACCATTATAAGTTATTGTAGTTGGTGAAGCTGTTTCTATAGCTTCTATTATTTTCTTGACTAAAGTTTCTTTTAAAGGTGTATTTTTTACTCAATTCTTATCATTCTTCTATCTGCTATTTTAATTAAATGTTTTGCTTCTTCCAATAATAAACAATAACCTGTTACATCTCCTTGTGTTTTTTCAATATGAATATTTATGTTCACTCCTGTTTTGAAAAGATCTTCTTGGTGAGCTGATAGATCAAAACAGAAGATTGGATGATTAAGTGCAAAATCTACATATTCAAACTGAGGTAGATTTCCAAATAATTCACACATATTTTTATAGTTTCTATACAATTCATTATAATCCTTTGTGGTTGGATTAATTGTTAAAGGTTGTTTAGGATAATTATCGTTGTTTAATCTTACTTGAACTTTATGGATTAAAGGATCTTGAGTTTGGTTCATTGCCACTCTAAAGACATTATTGTTATTCGTTTGAGAATCTGGTAAGTTCTTGAAACCAACTATTAAATATCTTGCTGGTTTAATAGTGTTAGTGATTGGCCAAGTGGTGGATTCTCCAGTTAAAGTCATGCTACCTACAGTGTTACGATGAAGAAAAGCTATTTCAATATCTTTAGTTAACGAGTTGAATATTCTCGTTTCTACTTCAATTGATGGTGTTATTACGGGTATGAAAAGTTGGA